CAGATGTCGAACCCCCCAAAATAACAACACAATTAAATGTGCCGATCCTGATACCGCCAGATTCGTGGACCCTTTTCTCCGAAGACGGACAATATCCCTCTTGTGATCCTTCTCCCGCTAAGACTCACATTAACCCTTCTTCCTTCCCCTAGCCCCCTGGAAGCCTCCGACGAAAAATATATATGCTGGACCCTTGGCCTCTTGGGCGGTACCGGGAATTGTCTGGAGATGTCCTGGTGGTGGGGGTCGGGGCCCGGGGGGCGTATACATATATATATATATATATATATATATACGTGTATATATATATATACACACAAGACTGCATTGGCGTTGCGCGCCATGCACCTTGGTCCTTTGAGTTCCGCATGCAAGCGGAATGCGTGCGTGCGTACATGCGCGCATGCATGTATACACGCGCACGCGCATGCACGTTCCGTATATATGTCTAGGTGTATACAATAGATTTGCATTGTTGTATGTGCATACAGAGTACATATGTACATATAAAATTATGTGTGCAAGAGTATGAACATGCATATGCAACTCGTACGTGTTTTGCCGGTGCACGCCCATATGTATACATATATGTAACTATAAATATATGTAAGTATGTAAGTCTGTATATTGCCAATCCAAGGGCATGCGCGCGTAGGAATCGATTGCCTCTCAGGGTCTTCTGGACCCCTGGAGGCCTCACGATCATCTTGTGAAAGTTTTGGGGGCATCCTCCGGCATCTTCGCTGCATGCCACGAGACCCTAAACGACTGGGTCACAATGTGGAATGTCATGGGAGCAAAATCAATGAATGCTGGCATTCGGAAACATCGTGGGGGTGTTTTCGGGGCCCTCGTGGGCCGTTTTGGCGCCTTCATGGGCCGTCCTGGGGCCTTCTTGGGCCGTCTTGGGGAGCTTGGGCCCGCTGGAGCCCCCTTTGGACCCATCTTGGGCACTTCCGGGGACCTCCCATGGCCCTTTTGGGTCTGTGCTGGGAGCCCTTGGGGGGCCTCTTGGTTCCATTATGGGCTGTCTTGGGGCTCTCGTGGGCGATCGTGGGGCCCGGCTCGGCCGTCTTGAAGCTTTCTTGGGGGCCTCTTGGGGCGTCTTGAGGCGATCTCGGGGGTTTTGAAGCAGTCTTGAAAGCTGATGAAATCCGAAAGGCGAATATGCTAAAATTGTAAGTTTTACGAAGGGAATGAAACGATTTTTGTGTTTTGAAGGCCCCTTGGAAAGCTTTTTGGGGTGCCTTGGGGGTCTTTGGGGCCGTCCTGAAGCAATTGGAGTCCCGCTTGGAGCGCTCTTGTGCTGTCTGGGGCCTCCCTTGAGCCTTTCTGATGACCCCTCTGATCGCTCTGGGTCTGCTGGCAAGGCGTGTGTGGAGACCCAGAAAGCCGGGTGACCTTTTCCAAGGACGTCTAAGGGAGCCCGAGAATCCTAAATCCCGGGGATCCAGGTTTGGGGGTGGGGGACGGTTTTTTCCCCCCCCCGGGGGTTGCAAAAATATAGGAAGAGGAATGCAAGACTGCATTGGCGCTGCGCGCCATGCACCTTGGTCCTTTGAGTTCCGCACGCAAGCGGAATGCGTGCGTGCGTACATGAGCGCATGCATGTATGCACGCGCACGCGCATACACGTTCCGTATATATGTCTAGGTCTATACAGTATACTTACAGTGTTGTATGTGTGTAAACAGCGTACATCGGTACATATAAATGTATGTGCGTAAGGGTATGAAGATGCATATGCAACTCGTACGTGCTTTGTCGGAGCACGCCAGAGCAATGACTGGGTCACAATGTGGAATGTCATGGGAACAAAATCAATGAATGTTGGCATTCGGAAACGTCGTGGGGGTGTTTTCGGGGCCCTCGTGGGCCGTTTTGGCGCCTTCATGGGCCGTCCTGGGGCCTTCTTGGGCAGTCTTGGGGAGCTTGGGCCCGCTGGAGCCCCCTTTGGACCCATCTTGGGCACTTCCGGGGACCTCCCATGGCCATTTTGGGTCTGTGCTGGGAGCCCTTGGGGGGCCTCTTGGGTCCATTGTGGGCTGTCTTGGGGCTCTCGTGGGCGATCGTGGGGCCCGGCTCGGCCGTCTTGAGGCTTTCTTGGGGGCCTCTCGGGGCGTCTTGAGGCGATCTCGGGGGCTTTGAAGCCGTCTTGAAAGCTGATAAAATCCGAAAGGCGAATATGCTAAAATCCCACCAGCCCTTTGGGCGTGAGTGGTTTAGGGAGCTCTCTCTGTTCTCAACCCCCATTCTTCCCCTTCGGGGAAGGGTTTACCCCTCCCCCTACCCCCTACCCCTGGGCCTGGAGAGGGCGCCCCGCGGGTGGTCAGAGGGGTCTTTTTCGACTCCTGGGAGGGCTAAAAAACGACACCCCTCACGAGGATTCTGGCCCCGACGGGGGGGGGAGAAAAAATGCCCCCCTCTTCTTTGAAGCCAAAATCATTGATTTTACTACGGTTTTGGCCCCATTTTGGCCTTCTGAGGGGGCAGCGCTAATTAAAGCTCCTCTCTTCTTTCAAACCAAAATCATTGATTTTACAATGGTTTTGGCCCCATTTTGCCCTTCTGAGGGGGCAGCGCTAATTAAAGCTCCCCTCTTCTTTGATCGATTTCCTCCAAGATGGCCCCAAGAAGCGCCCAGGAGGCACCAAGAGGCCCCAAGATGGCCCCAAGAGGCCCCCAGTAGGCCCCCAAGAGGACTCCAAGAGGCCCCCAACATGCCCCCAAGAGGCCCCCAAGAGGCCCCAAGAGGCTCCCCCGAAGCACCCAAGACGCTCCTGGAAGCCCCTGGGGCCGCCAAGAGGCCCCCAAGACGCTCCAAACGGCCTCCAAGAGGCTCCCAAGAGGCCCGAAGAGGCTCCCCCAAGGCACCCAAGACGCTCCTAGAAGCCGGCCCCCAAGACGCCCCAAAAGGGGACGAGCCCGAACGCCTCACACCACGAGGGCCCGAACGACTCACACAAACGAGCCCGAACGACTCGACCCACGAGGAGCCCGAACGACTCACACCAGGACGAGGGCCCCGAACGACTCACACCACGAGGAGCCCGAACGAGTCACACCAGGAGGAGGGGCCCGAACGACTCACACCAGGACGAGGGGCCCGAACAACTCACACCACGAGAAGCCCGAACGACTCACACCAGGACGAAGAGCCCGAACGACTCACACCACGAAGAGCCCGAACGACTCACACCAGGAAGAAGGGCCCGAACGACTCACACCAGGACGAGAAACCCCAAACGACTCAAACCACGAGGAGCGCTTTCTCTCCCTCCTCCTCCGCCTCGTCCTTCTCCCGCTCCCCCCACAAGGAGGATGTACAAGGAGGCGGGAGGAAGGAGGAACAGGGGAGATATGCGGGGCCAAGCGGACACACGCCTGAAAAACACGACTGTCGGCATGCTTCGCAAGAGTTGCTGTTGTGAGATGGGCTGGTGGGGATACGCGAAGCGTAAAGAATTGTAAGTTTTACGAAGGGAATGAAACGATTGTTGTGTTTTGAAGGCCCCTTGGAAAACTGTTTGGGGTGCCTTGGGGGTCTTTTGGGCCGCCCTGAGTCCCGCTTGGAGCGCTTTTGTGCTGTCTGGGGCCTCCCTTGAGCCTTTCCGATGACCCCTCTGATCGCTCTGGGTCTGCTGGCAAGGCGTGTGTGGAGACCCGGAAAGCCGGGTGACCTTTTCCAAGGACGTCCAAGGGAGCCCGAGAACCCCAGATCCCCGGGGATCCAGGTTTGGGGGGGGGACGGTTTTAGTTCCCCCCGGGCTTGTAAAAATATAGGAAGAGACATATACATACATATACAGATACATATGTGTATGTGTACATGTGCATATACATATACATGTACATATGCAGATACCTGTACAAACATAAGCATGTAAATAATCATGCACAAATACACATATACATACACATATGCATACATATATATATAATCATATACATGTATAATACATATAAACATGTATATGATTTTATATATACATATACATGTGCATGTACATGTACATGTACATGTACATGTACATGTGCATGTACATGTACATATACATAGACATAGACAGATGCATATACATATACATGCACATACACGTGTATATATACATATACATATACATATACATATACATATACATATATATATATATATATATATATATATACATATACATATATACCTATACATATACATATACGTATATATATTGTCATATACACATACAAATACATATACCTATACATATACATATACATATACATATACATAGACATACAAATACATACATAGTTATATATGCATAGACATATACATAAACATATACATATACATGTACATGTGCATATACATATACCTATACATATGCATGTACAGTTACATATACAAAATGCATATATGCTTACGCACACACATATGCACATGTATAAGTAGACACATACATATAAGTATACATAGACATATACATATACATACACACATACATGTACATATACACATACAAATACATGTGCACATGCATGTAGCTCTACATATACATATACCTATACATATACGTACAAGTATACATAGACATAGCCATAGACATAGCGGGAAGCGGGAAGCGGGAAGCAGCGGTGCGGGTGTCGCCCGCGCCCGGGCCCCTGGAGGGCGGTCAGGCTCGCTGGAAAAGCAAATGTGCAAGAATCCCTCGACGTGGTGAAATCAGAAATGGCCTGGGGCCTGCAAGTGACGAACGACAGCATGAGCGGCAACATCTTCTATTCCATAGACATGGACATATACATATACATATGCGTATATATACGTATACATTTATCTAGAATCAAGCTCTGAAGGTTCCAGAAACATTATGCACCTCTCACGCGAGCTGATCACAATGTTGCATCTGAGGGCATCGAGATCCATATTCGTCTTGGGCCCGTGGCCGAGCAGCGTCATGCCACGGGTTGGAAGGCCGCTCAGTGGCCGCCTCCGCGCCGAGCGCAGCGTCCTTCTCTCAATTGATGTGCGGCCGTACGTCGATGACCCACCCCTTGGAGTTCTTGATGCGGCGCTGTCGGATCGCCTCCAGGTAGGTCAGGGGCGGATACAGTACCTCCCTCTCGCCGGGGTAGAGCGACAGCCAGGAGATGTCGCTGCCGCGCTCCATGAACGTGGCAGGGACAATTCGCAGTATCAGGGGGTGCTCGCTATTCGCGTACTCACCAAGCTTGATCTTGCTCACAGATGTCGACATCGGTCCCAGCTCAGTCCCGCCGTTGCGCAGAAAGTCGCCCGAGACGTCTAGATTGTTCATGCCTCTCCAGTACTCCTCGTATGGCGAATCGTCATTCAGATGGAGCTGCCGGAGCTTCTTCAGTGCATCGTGCAAGAGCAATACAGTAACAGGTACTGGGTGCTCATCTTGAAAGCCCTCCTGATTCTGCGTCTCCCTGAAGGGTCGCGTGATTATCTGGAACAGAGACGAGGTGTAGATCCGCAGCGCAAGGACGTGGCACAAGTCGAGCCCAGCCTCGACTGCCTGTGGGAGAGTAACAAAATCTGCTAACATCATACCACCTCTTCCCTCATCTCGAACTACTGTTTGGCCATCTCCGGCATTGCTCGCGTCCAGTATGCCTGAAGCGGCCTCGAAGAGGATGTAGCGTAAGAAGCTGAGGGCCTTTGCCTTGTCAATTTGCGGACATGCCATGTACATCTTGTATACCTCCTCTTCCAACTGTTCCCACTCGTCCTGCACTGCTCTCACAGGATCGGTGTATCTTTTTCGCACGGTATCTGGGCTTGCCTTGACGAAATCAGGCACTCCTCCAGCGGCTAATTTGGGACGCCCTGTCTTGAACTCCCCCGTCTCGAACTTGGCGCCATTTGCAGACGTGTTCGCGACAGTGCGCCTCACAGGTTGGGTCTGCGATGTGGCCAGGCTCACTCCAGCTGCTGTAGCGCTGCGCGCCGAGCTCACCATCTCTACCCAAGCCATGACTCGAGTGTCCCGCGGAGAACGGTCGGACAGACCGGGTATGTCTAGGGTCTCAGGGAAAAGGCGTTCGGAGATTCGCTGGCATGTGCTGCCCAGCTGGGCGCGGTTCTGCCAAGCGAACAATCCGACAATGATGACGAAGACCAAGCAAGCGGCCAGCCGGATAATCATCACCTGGTGCTTCTCCGTCTCGTCCATGTGCTTGCGAAGGCGATCCCCAAGAACAGACTGAAAATTGACGGTTGGATCTTCGTCTAGGACCAATGAGACCGGGGGCAAACGATGAGTGACCCGCTCGACCCAGGCGCCCGCCAGCTTAGAGGCGCCCTTGTCTGTAATCAAATTCATCGTGAGGTCGAGGGATTGTATGGAGTCGCTGACCTTCAGGGCTGCGGCTAGCTCGGTCGCGCCCTCGTCTCCAATGGAGTTATCAGAAAGAACGAGGCTCTGAATGGAGGTGCTCACCTTCAGGGACGCGGCCAGCTCGGCCGTGCCCCAGTCCCCGATGCTGTTGCTGCAGAGGATGCGGGACTGCATGGAGGTGCTGGCCTTCAGGGCCAACGCCAGCTCGGCCGCGCCTTCGGACCCGATGCCGTTCTGAGAAAGGCCGAGGCGCTGCATTGAGGTGCTCACCTTCAGGGCCGCGGCCAGCTCGGCCGCACCCTCGGCCTCGATGCTGTTAGCAGTCAGGTCCAGGTGCAGCATGGAGGTGCTGACCTCCAGGGCCGCGGCCAATCTGGCCGCGCCCTGGGACCCAATGTCGTTCCGAGAGAGGTCAAGGCGTTGCACGGAGAAGCTGGCCTTCGGGGCCGCGGCCAGCTCGGCTGTGCCCTTGTCCCGAATGGTGTTACCAGCAAGGTCGAGGAATTGCATGGACAAGCTCACCTTCAGAGCAGCGGCCAGCTCGGCCGCGCCCTCGGCCTCGATGCTGTTCTGAGAAAGGTCAAGGCGCTGCATGGAGGCGCTAACCTTCAGGGCCGCGGCCAGCTTGGCCGCGCCCTCGTCCTTGATGCTGTTACCAGCCAGGTCGAGGTGCTGCATAGACAAGCTGATCTTGATGGCCGCGGCCAGGGCGACCGCGCCCGTGGCTCCGATGCAGCTGCTGCCGAGGTCGAGGCGCTGCATGGAGGTGCTGATCTGTCCTAAAATGTGGATGCCCTTTTCGCTGCGAAAGACAAGCGCGGGTTCATCGTTGATTCTTCGCCGCGTGAGGTTTGTCGGCCGATGCCAAGTCGGCGGCGCCCTCGGGTCCAATATTGCCAGCACGCCTGAGGTCAAGGCGGCGCAAGGAAGGACAAGTCTTCACCGCTTCCGCCAGCCTGTGAGTGCACGCCGTCGTCTCTGCGGGCCCTGCAGCTCGACGCCGCTCGTGCCCGTGAGAGTATTGCATATCGCTGTCCCCCTCGGCTGCGGAGCACGCGTCGGTCTTGGCACTTGCAGTGCGCCATGCAGCGGATGCAGTCGTTGTGAAAATGAAACTGACTACCTACCAGACCACCCCAACCCAACCCGAAGACCCGAATTTGACCCGAATTTCGGGTTGGGGGGGGTACGGGTTCCATGTGTTTTTTCAACGTTCCCCGACCCCCCCCCCACTGGAAATGGAGGGCAAATTGAGGCCTTCGGGTTGGGTTGGGGTGGTTTGGTAGGTGGTGAGAAACACACGATCCACATCCCCATGGTGAACCAATAATCAGGGGGGCGTAAGACCTGGGTACAGGGGACTCGGAAATCCCCGACGAGGTCGTCAAAAAATGTCGAGGCCGAGCCTGCAGTTTGACGAGGCCTCCCGATGCAGACATCCCACGAAGCTCCTCCTCGTCAAAATCCGAGGCGCGGTCGTCAAAAAACGATGGCGAACCCAAGTCCTGGCAAACCCGGGTCTTACGCTCCCCCGAAATAAGTACGGATCAAGCAACGCTTATCTGCGCGCTGATAGAACCCGCGACAAGCTACTAGACCGGCTGCTTGAGCTCAACTGGCTACGGGAACTGGCTACGGTGAAGCCTCAAGTAGGGAAGCGAGCTCTATACACCGATGCATTTTCCGGCCCTGCACTGAAATTTGCACAGGCAAGCGGATCCTGGTGTATACGAGACCCTGGTGTATCGATGTTTCGGCGTTTCCCCTGCAAAACGGAGAGAAAAGTATACACCACACCACCCCGACGTCGTCTCCGACCCTCAAAAAGTCCTGGGATTGAGAAACAACCCGCCACTGGTGATGTATATGCTCCAAATTCCGACCAAGAGAAAACCCTGGCGCCTTCAAGCTCGGGGCAAGCGTAGGGCAGCGAGCGACCTCGCGCCGCAGGCGCTTCCCACTGAGGGTGCCCGGCCCAGCAACGAAGATCCTGTTCTCGTAGTCCTGGACAGAGATCTGCACGAGGCCCGAGAACTGCTTGCGCAGGGACCTGCGGACTTGCTCCCCCTCGTTGATCGTGTTGCTCACGAGCAGGCCCCCTGGATTCAGCAGCTGCTTTCCAAGCTGGCCCAGTTGGCGAGTGCTCGGTCGACGGCAAGCTGAACAAATTGCGGACCGCATCCGAAGGCGCGTCAGGGCACATACGTCGCCTACTTCGCGCTTCGTGCTAGCGCGACGCGAAGTTACCTTCACACTCTCGAGCGGCCACCCGGGAAGAACGGCGCTGTCTGGCCAACACCGCGAAGCACAAAGCGGGATGATCTTCGCGCTCCTGTGTGTGACCTAGGGGCCCTTGGGGTTTCACCCCAGCTGCTGAGAGGAAAGATCCCACCTACTCTGGGAGCCCACCTGCCGATCAGTCCACCGCCCCAAGGCACGTCAGTGTTGGAACCTCATGCTACGTGGCTACACCAAACCTCGGGGAAGACTGCTGGGTGACTGAGCCCGTCCAAGCCACGCCAATACGGCACCCTGATATAATGCCCCTATCGTCTCGTGCATCTCGCGAGCCTACTGGGCCCAACGCGTGAGATGTCGCCGCGACGTCTAGCGCGTCACATCACATACCTATGTATAACGGTCGTGCTATATCTGCATCACACGGCGCATCACAAGTTATTAGTGCACGACACCAGACGATTGCATCACGCACAGCATTTCTAGGACACCCGTGCGCGCTGCGCCGCCTACTAGAAAAAAAGCCAGTGTGCCGGCAACGAGCGTCGCAGCAAACGCTAGAAACGCGCACCAAGTTACAGAGGGCGCGCCGCTGGATCACCCAAAGGGGAGGGGGGGTCCGGGACCCCCCCTCCCCCCCCCCCTTTCCCCGATCCGTCGTCGGCGGACCCCCTGCCCTGCTTTCCGCTCCATCGTCGGCGGCCCCCACACCGCCACCCTTCCCGATCCGTCGCCGGCGGACCCCCCCCTCCCCACTTTCGCCACGCCGCCCCCTGGCTCCGGAGCCCGATCCCTGCCACACCTAACCCTCAACCTCATCCCTGCCCTAACCCCTAACCCCTAACCCCTAACCCAACCCACCACTCCTAATTCTAACCCCTACCCTACGCCTAACCTTAACCTACCCAAACCCCCACGCTAACCCCTAATTCAAACCGTAATCCCCACCCTAACCCCTACCCTAAGGACTAAGAGCCTATAAATAGCTAAATCCTGAAATGCCTTATGCCGCCCTTACGGCGCCCCTTCCGCCGCCCCCCGCTTTGGCACACCCCTCACGCAGATCCTTGCCCTCGGAGTGCCGGGAATGGTGTTCTGGGAGCTTTGGCGAATCGCAGGGCGCAACCCTCACGCAGATCTGGCCCTCGGAGCTCCAGGAATGGCGTTCTGGGCGGATCTGCAAAACCCAGGGCGCACCCCTCAGATTCGTGACCTCGGACTGCCAGGAATGGCGTTATGGGAGGGTCTGCAAGTTCCAAGGCCCACCCCCCACACAGATTCGTGGCCTCGGAGTGTCAGAAATGGCGTTCTGGGGGCGGCTTGCGAATCGCACGGTATCGTCGTCGTCGTTTTGAGATCAATATCGTCGTCTTCGCCATCGGTATCGTCGTCGTCGTTTTGAGATCAATATGTCTTTGGTCATGGGTGGGTGGGACACGTCCAACAGGCTTCAAGTTTGGGCTAGGAGGCCCTAACCCTAAACCTTAAACCCTACCCGAATCCTAACCCCTACCCTAAGCCCTGATCCTAACCCTGACCCCTACCCTAATCCTAACCCTAACCCCTACCCCTAACCCAAACCCTACCCCTTACCCCTAACCCTGGCCCCTCACCCTAACCCTAATCCCTGACCCTAACCCTAAGACCTAACCCTAATCCCTAACCCTACTCTAACCCCTAACCCTGACCCTAAGCCCTAACCCTTGCCCTAAGCCCTAATCCAACCCCATAAAGCCTAACCCTAACCCCCAGCCCTGCCCTAACCCCTACCCTAACCCCTAACCTTAGCCCTAATCCCTACCTTGAACCCTAACCCTAACCTAACCCCTAACCCCTACCCCCACCCCTAACCCTAACCCTGACCCTAATCCTTGACCCCAATCCTATGCCCTGACCATAACCCCTAAACTCTACCCTAACCCCTAACCGTAACCCTAATCCTTCATGTTAACCCTAAGCCCTAACCCTAACCCCTCAACCCTACCCTAACCCCTACCCTAACCCGAACCTCTACCCTAACCCGACCTGACCCTTGATCCTAACCCTAACCCCTACCCTAACCCTAACCTAACCTCAACCCTAAAACCTCACCCCGAACCCCTAACCCGAACCCTAACCCTAACCCTAACCCCTAACCTTAAGCCTAAACCCTAACCCTAACCCCTAATCCCAACCCTAGCTCCTACCCTGACCCTAACCCCTACCCTTAACCCCTACCCTAACCCTAAACCCAACCCTTACCCCGACCCTAAACCCTAACCCTAACCCCTAACCCCTAACCCTAACTCCTACCAGAACCCTAAGCTTTACCTCAACCCTAACCCCTAATCCCGAATACCCTCACTCTAACCCCTACCCTAAACCCGAACCCTAGCTCTTACGCCTAACCCTAGCCCCTAACCGTAACCCTAATCCCTGATCCTAACCCTAAGAACTAACCCTAACCCACAAACCCTACCCTAACCCCTAACCCTGACCCTAATCCCTAGCCCTTATCATAAGCTCTAATCCAAAACCCGAAACCCTAACCCTAACCCCCAGCCCTTCCCTAATCCCTACCCTAACCCCTAACCTTAACCCTAACCCCTACCCTAAACCCTAACCCTAACCTGACCCCTAACCCCGAGCCCCACCCCTAACCCTGACCCTAATCCCTAACCCCAAACCTATGCCCTAACCATAACCCCTAAACTCTATCCTAACCCCTAACCGCAACCCTTATCCTGAATATTAACCCGAAGCCCTAACCCTAACCCCTCAACACTACCCTAACCCCTACCCAAACCCTAATCTCTACCCTAACCACCACCTTAACCCCAGCCTCCAGCGCTCCGGAGCGGAGAGAGCCTCCCCATCTGCCCCCCCCCCCACCTTGCCTGGCCAAAGGGGGGGAGGAGGGGGGGTCCGAAATCGCCCCCCCCCCCTTGAAGGAGGGGGGGGGTCCGAAAATGTCCCCCCCCTTGAAGGGGGTGAGGGGGGGGGGTTCTGGGAGCACACCCCCCCTTTCAATTGCGAGGTGATCCACTGGCGCTCTTTCCAAGTTACACCCGCCCAAGTACACCTAGTTACGCCCAGTTACACCTAGCTACACAAAATTACACACACCGTTAGACCTCAGTGCACCCAGTTACACCTTGTTACACCTGGTTACAGCCAATTACATATCGTTTCACAACATTATACCGAACTGCCGGAAGTTCCTCTGATGCAACACACTCATTTCGCACCATGTTGCATTCTAATCCGAATGAGACTGCAAGCGTCCATCTCCTTAGAAGGTACAGGACTCAGTCTGTAACAGACGGACTGTTTGTACAAAATGTCCCTCTGGGCATCTCGCATCCCGCAAAGGCGAGACCTCGATCATCGGTCCTCGTCACCACCTTCGTTCTCGTCTGCTCGTCGCCACAAACTCGATCCTCGAAACCCGAACCCCGAACCTCGACCCTCGATCCTCGCAAGCACCTCAAATCTCGACCCTCGACCATTGCTAAAAGCTCGAGGCTCGAAACCCGATCCTCGATCCTCCTCAAAGCGTCGACCCCCAATCCTCGTCAACACCTCGGTTCTCGATATTGGCTAATCGCGAAAAAACTCAAACTTGGACGCTCGGTCCTCAAACATCAATCCTTGCACATAACTCGATCCTCGAACCTTGATTTTCGCCAGACCCTCAGTCCTCGAATCACGATCCTCTATCTTCGACCCGTGGTAGGTCTTGAAACCTCGCTGCTCGGTCCACGCCGGAACGTGAGCCATCAAAGCACGATGCTCGCCTCACTCTCGATGGTGATGGTGATGGTGACGGTGATGGTGATGGTGATGGTGATGGTGATGGTAATGGTGATGATGATGGTGATGGTGATGGTGATGGTAATGATGATGATGAAAATGACGAAAACTATGAAAATGTTGAAAATGATGATGATGATGATGATGATGATGGTGGTGGTGGTGATGATGATGGTTATGGTTATGGTTATGATTGTGGTTATGGTTGTCTGAAGGTGATCATCCTGCTGCTGATGATGATGATGACGAGATGACGACCCAGGGAGACAGCATGTACAAAACCAGCTTGGTGTAACGAACTTCCCGATGATTATGAGATGAGGAGGAGGAAGAGAATGATGCTGCTGCTGCTGCTGCTGATGATGATGATGATGATGATGATGCTGGTGATGGTGATGGTGATGATGACGATCATCATTGAGGGGCAACGATAGGGGGGGACTGGCATAGGGGGGATGCATCGACCTGGAATCAGCGATACTTCGCCGAGAGATCGGCGATAGGACCCCGATAGTGAATCCGTTTTTCCTGGGCAGGTTAGGGCTATCGCGCCCCTATCGGCGTTCAATGGGCGATTGGGGGTCGATGCATCCCCCCCTATGCATATCCACCCCGATCGTTGCCCTTGAATCATGATGACGAGGAAGCGGGAAATATGTAGAAGGCCAATTTTTCGTACAGACTTTCCTCCAGCCCTTCCTGGCCTCTGGTTGGCTGCCCCCGATGCATCTGACGGCTTCGCTGCGCGGGAAAGCCCAATTCCCCACGATCACGGTGATAGCAATGTTGATGATGATGACTATGATGATGATGATGCTGATGGTAATGGCGAAGATGACAATATGATGATGGTGATGATGACGCTGGAGAGGATGATGATGATGATGACGATGATGATGATGATGATGATGATAATGGTAAGGATGCGGATGATGATGGTAAAACTGAATGCAACTGAAGACGACTGAGGGTGATTGTAGGGAACCGGCGCCGTCCGACGCAACGCGCGGCCACAATGGGAAAAGCAGAAGCCAAAATGCGCCAGCGCACATCGACAATGTATGTTTATGAGGCGCACGTTGCGTTTAGTACGCCAAACATCGAACGTATTGTACGTAGTTCGCCAAACCCACAGAATAGAGAGGCCGCCACAAATGTGGTGCGCGTTTTTTATATACAATATATATATATATATATATATATAATGCGGCGACACGGCGAAACCCCAGGAATGAGGGATACAGCGGGGGACCTAGCGGACGAGAGGGATTTGTGATACATGTATATTGCTAACCAAGTGCGGAACGGAATGTCTGAAGACCACTCCGACGCCTCAAACAAAGACATACCAGCGCGGCACAACTTAATTAGGAGGATCAACGTTGGCGGAAGACTCTTTGTTTCCAGCCCCCGCCCGGAAAACGTAGCCAATCAGTTCCCCCTGAAGGGGGCAACTCCCATCAGGCTCGCGCGGCAGCGACGCTCCATGGCGGCTGAACTCGAATGCGGCAACTGGCAAGCAACACATCAGCCGGCAACATCGCCTCGCAGCGGGCGCCATGCACGAGCTGATGGCGTCAAAAACTCGCAGCGGGCGCCATGCGCGAGCCGGTGGCGGAAAGGTTTCAATGGATAGCGCATCGTTTTCGCGTCTGCGGAGACAGCGGTGAAACGTGAGAAATATGGATGTATTAGGCTGCGCACCGGACTCACCCCAGTCCAGTTCGAATAGCCACGTTGTGCGAATCCCATGGGGCCCAAACAGCCAGCACTGCAAAGTCAAGCACAACGTCAAGAGAGGAGGCCCAGGAGGAGGAAGGAACACGGAAACAAGGGGAGGAAAGAAGGCGGGGGGAATACTGGACGCTTCAACCCAGAAGCCTTCGTAGTTAAACTGAGCTCGTATTGGATCATAGTTATGCTGGGCTCCCTGCGGAGCAGGTGGATGGCCGAAAGCCGCAATGGCGAGCACACCGCTCCAACCAGCACCACAGGTTAGCGCCCTAGCGCCGACCAGGGCCACCAGACCCTCGGGGGCATCCTCTCACCTCCCAGCCCACGCCCCGGCACCGCCGCTGGCTGGGCAAAAAAACAGCAACGCAACACTTCACACAACATGAAACCATGCACCGTGCAACATAAAAACTAATCGTGCGTAAGCATGCAACGTGCACCTACTGCGGTTGATTCTAAAACAAAAAAGATATTGTCCGCCCGCTGGTGGCGGCAACTCTGGCTGCGCAAACTACCAAGCATCGGGAGACATCCTCGAAAACCGTGGCCACTTCCACCGCCGCCGAAATCCGCTGCCCCTCAACGAGGCTTTGACCGCAACGCCCCAAGCGCAGATGGCTCTGGCCCGAGATGGCAAATGGCACTGGCCAGAGATGGCTCTGGCCCAAAGACGCGCACCACAACAACAACAAAAACAAACGCGTGCAAAGATACGTGTGAACAGACGCGGGGGAGGGAGGGGAGGGGGGAGAAAGGGGGAATGGAATGGCATCTGCTGCCGCACATGTGAATCTGGCACGCGTCGATGGGCCTGCCGTCGGTGCGTTCCGCGCGTCGACCCGGGCAATCCCCTGGGCCTTGCCGCCGCACTGTCGCACGATATACACCCGTGCCAAAATGTGGCCCAGCCGCCTGGCGCATCTCCTGCGCGGCCGCGACCCGAATCCGTGACATTCGAGACGTTGGCAAAAACAAGCAGTCGAGGGGCAGCAGCACGAAGGGGTGGAGGCGGAGGGAGGAAGGAGAGGGGCGACCGCGCGCTCGGACCGAAAGCCCCCGCCTCGAAGCGGCCAGCCGGCCTGGACAGAGATTACGGAAACGCTGTCGGCCACGTGGCCGGGGCAACGAAACGGCCACCCGTGACAAGTATTGCCCAGGCGCCGGGCTGGAAATGTTACTTTAAGCTGGCGTTTTCCTTTGGCACCGCACCACAGCAAGGAGGGGGAGAGGAGGGGAGGGGAGGCCAAGGCGAGGCGAGGGAGGAAGGGAGGGCGAACGGACGTACACTGCGGAAGCGGCGCCTGTCACGTCACGGCCGCTGCGCCAGGACACCGGGAATGGGCAGCGAACCCCTGGCTCAGGCAAGTCCTGGCCGCACCCTGCGCCTCTGGCGGTCCTGCAACCATTGGCGAAAACGGCGGACGCGCGCCGTGCCGACCCGTCCCGGTCGGATGGCAGTCCGCGGAGCGTCTGCCGCCCATCGCTCCCGCAGGGTCGCGGCCCCGCGTGGGTGGCCCTTGACGCCCTCCTTCACGGCCTGCACCAGCGCCTGGAATCTGTCTTCCTCCGTGCGGCGAGTTCCGCGGCTGGCGTGCCGCAGCGCGTTGATGACCGAATAGACGGCGTAGATGCACAGGGCCACGCAGGCCAGGTCCTCCTCGGACTCCAGGACTGGCGAACAGAGCATCCACGCACGCATGCCAGAAAAGCCTTGAGCGTTGAGGCGAAGTCTGGTGCCCATCAACCTCCGCACCGCGCGGCAACGGCTGTGGTGCTTGATGCTGTTCTCACTTCCCTCCACCCCGCAAAGCAAGCATCGGCAAGTCGCGAAGTGGACTCTCGGGGGACCAGCGGGTGCAGGGCCAGCAGGTTGGCGTACCCTCTGGAAGCTTGGACGCGCGGCGTCCCCTGGCGAGCATTACCTGGTATATGCCCATGCGCGCTGGCATCCCCCAAATCCCAGACCTCCAGCTTTTCCCGGAAGCGGCCTTCCAGGTTGCCCAGGTTGTCCGCCACGTGGCAGTCGTAGTACGTGGATTGGAACTGATTGCGCCACATCGCGTCCTCTGCCCGCGCTACTGGGGTGGCCAGCCTGGCCGCCCGAACTTCGTTCACGTCGCCGAAGCGCCCCTACAAGTCGTTCGGATCCTGGAGCCGGAGCAGGAGTTGGCAAGGCATCAGCGTTGGCCCACGCCTGACGCAGCTAAGCAGTCTTCCCTGAACTGCCGCTGGCTGTCTATGCCTCTATCGCAGTGCAGGGCCCGCATCTGCGAAGATGCGGCCATCCACACCAAATTGTGGAAGGACGAAGCCCCGCCGTAAGCGTCTCGAAGGGGCCAGAGTAAAATACATATGCGAAATGTTGGTGGAAGATACACACACTACGTGAAGAACAGAACCGCTGTGCAAATCATTGCACCGGAGCATTACGTAGCATTGACCAGCCTAGCAACGCGTAGCACAGCATAGCAGACTATCGCATTAAACAGCAATTCCCACACTGACACGACATAGCACAGCATGATATTGAAAAGCGTAGAACGACCAAGGACGGTACTGCATAGCATTACACAGCGTGCCATAGCATCATGGCATGCTAACGAACAGCGCCGCTCAGCCTAGGAAAACTCAGCATGGCGCGTGACGCGAGGAAGAGGCGAGGTGGCAGTAGCGAGGGCCCAGCCAGGGATCGCAAGGGCTACACCTTAACGTCTGATCGCCGACAACTCACCGTCGGCCGCCACCGTCCTGGCACCGGCCTGGTCTGTGCGAGCTCGTGGCCCGGCATCGGCAGCCACCCAGGTTTCTCGATGTCAACGCCGACGCTCATGAACACGTCCTCAATGATCAGGTCAAAGCTCCTCCACTCGCCGTCTTCGTACTCGCGAGCCGCCACCACCACCGTCACCGTCGGCCTCTCCCTCCTCATCCTCGTCATCATCATCATCATCATCATCATCATCATCATCATCATCATCATCATCATCATCATCATCATCATCATCATCATAATCATCATCACATCGTCGTTTTCATCATCAACATCATCATCATCAGCAGCACCGTCATCGTCATCATCATCATTAACATCATCATCATCATCATCATCATCATCATCATCATCATCATCATCATCATCATCATCATCATCATCATCATCATCATCGTCATTATCATCACCATCAGTATCTTCAGAAGCAGCAGATCACCGCCATCCTTATCACCATACTGGTCACAGTCACCGCAATCATCGTCACCATCATTATCGTCATCATCATCATCATCATCATCATCATCATCATCACCATCATCATCATCATCATCATTATCATCATCGTCATCATCATCGTCATCAATATAGTACCACCACCACCACCACAACCATCATCATCATCATCATCATCATCATCATCATCATCAAAACCAGAATCATCATCATTACCATCATTATCAACAGCAGCACCAGCACATCATCATCATCATCATCATCATCATCATCATCATCATCATCATCATCATCATCATCATCATCATCATATCATCATCATCATCATCAGCATCATCATCATCATCATCATCATCATCATCCTCATCCTCATCCTCATCATCATCATCATCATCATCAGCATCATCATTATCATCATCAACAGCATCGCCATCATCATCATCATCAACAACATCGTCATCGTCATCACCATACTCAGAATCCTCAACCTCATCCGAAACGTCATCATCGTCACCACCCTCATCATCATCAGCAGCATGACAATCGTCACCATCATCATCATCGTCATCATCATCATCATCGTCATCATCATCATCATCATTATAATAATCATCATCATCACGATCATCATCACGATCATCATCATCAGCATCATCAGAATCATGCCCCGGAGGGGCACCCCCACAAGCGGGTTGTTAGGCCAAAGCGGCCCCTTGATGCAGGCGGGGGGCACTGGGCCTTCGGGGTCGAACCGGCACTCCTTACCGGGGGGCCGCCAGGTCCCGTGTCCTCCCCCAGGGCGGCGCGGGAGTTTACTCCCCGCACGCGCCGCCTTGGGGCGGGATCGGCGGTCCGTCTTCCTCCCTGTCGTTCGTCGCTCGTCGTGACGTCGTCGTGTCGTGTCGCTCGTCGTGTCGCTCGTCGTGTCGTCGTCGTGTCGTGTCGTGTCGCTTCTCTGGGCGAGCGGGGGGCCCTGCCCGCTCAGCAGTGGCGCCTGCCCTCCCTTCGTGGGAAAACGCTGCAGTGCACGGCGGGGCCCGTCGTTTGCCCTCTTTGAGCCCGAAGCCACCGCTCAGGCGAGCGGTGGACCGCGCCGCGAGAAAGCGGCCAGGGGCGGCGCCGCCAGAGGGGCGGCATGGCATCCGCAGGAACCTTGCCACAAAATCCCACCAGCCCTCTGGGCGTGAGTGGTTTAGAGAGCCCGCTCTGTTCTCAACCCCCTCCTTCCCCTTCGGGGAGGGGTTTACCCCTCCCCCTACCCCCTCCCCCTGGGCCTGGAGAGGTCCTTTCGCGGGTCGTCAGGGGGGTCATTTTCGACTCCTGGGAGGGCTAAAAAAACGACACCCCTCACGAGGATTCTGGCCCCGACGGGGGGAGGCAGAAAAAATGCTCTCCTCTTCTTTGAAGCCACAATCATTGATTTTACTACGGTTTGGGCCCCATTTTGGCCTTCTGAGGGGGCAGCGCTCATTAAAGCTCCCCTCTTCTTTCAAGGCGAAATCATTGATTTTACTAAGGTTTTGGCCCCATTTTGCCCTTCTGAGGGGGCAGCGCTCATTAAAGCTCCCCTCTTCTTTGATCGATTTCCTCCAAGATGGCCCCCAGAAGCGCCCAGGAGGCACCAAGAGGCCCCAAGATGGCCCCAAGAGGCCCCCAGGAGGCCCCCAAGAGGCCTCCAAGAGGCCCCCAAGATGCCCCCAAGAGGCCCCCAAGAGGCCCCAAGAGGCTCCCCCGAGGCACCCAAGACGCTCCTGGAAGCCCCTGGGGCCGCCAAGAGGCCCCCAAGACGCCCCAAACGGCCTCCAAGAGGCTCCCAAGAGGCCCGAAGAGGCTCCCCCAAGGCACCCAAGACGCTCCTAGAAGCCCCTGGGGCCGCCAAGAGGCCCCCAAGACGCCCCAAAAGGGGACGAGGTGCCCGAACGCCTCACGCCACGAGGAGCCCGAACGACTCACACCAGGACGAGGGGCCCGAACGACTCACACCACGAAGAGCCCGAACGACTCACACCAGAAGGAGGGGCCCGAACGACTCACACCAGGACGAGGCGCCCGAACGACTCACACCACGAGGAGCCCGAACGACTCACACCACGAGGGCCCCGAACGACTCACACCACGAGGAGCCCGAACGAGTCACACCAGGAGGAGGGGCCCGAACGACTCACACCAGGACGAGGGGCCCGAACAACTCACACCACGAGAAGCCCGAACGACTCACACCAGGACGAAGAGCCCGAACGACTCACACCACGAAGAGCCCGAACGACTCACACCAGGAAGAAGGGCCCGAACGACTCACACCAGGACGAGAAGCCCGAACGACTCAAACCACGAGGAGCGCTTTCTCTCCCTCCTCCTCCGCCTCGTCCTTCTCCCGCTCCCACCACAAGGAGGATGTACAAGGAGGCGGGAGGAAGGAGGAACAGGGGAGATATGCGGGGGCAGGCGGAAACACGCCTGAAAAACACGACTGTCGGCATGCTTCGCTAGAGTTGCTGTTTTGAGATGGGCTGGTGGGGATACGCGAAGCGTGAAGAATTCTCATCATCACCACCACCACCACCACCACCACCACCACCATCATCATCATCATCATCATCATCATCATCATCATCAACAGCACCATCATTACCATCGCCACCACCACCACCACCACTACCATCATCATCATCATCATCATCATCATCATCATCATCATCATCATCATCATCATCATCACCGTCATCATCAGAATCATCATAATAATCAGCATCATCATCATCATCATCATCATCATCATCATCATTATCATCATCCTCATCATCATCACCATCATCCTCATCATCACCGTCGTCGTCGTCGTCGTCATCATCATCCTCGTCATCGCCATCGCCATCGTCATCGTCATCATCAGCATCAGTATCAGCAGCAGCAGAATCATTAAAATCAACATTATCCCCAGCAACAGTATCAGCATTATCATAAGCATTATCATCATCAGCATCATCATCATCATCAGCAGCAGCATCATAATCTTCTGTTGCATCATCATCGTCATCATCAGCATCGTCCGCATCAGCATCAGCATCATCAACGTCATCTCATCATCATCAGCAGCAGCATCATCAGAATCAGCATCATCATCCCCTGTTTCATCATCATCGTAAACCACCAACCAGCAGCATCATCAACATCAGCATCGTTATCAGCATCATCATCATCATCACCAATCATCATCACCAATCATCATCATCGTCAGCATCATCATCACCCCCATCGCACCATCAGCATCATCATCATTAGCAGCATCATCATATTCATCATCAGCATTATCGCCCTCATCATCAGCAGCATCACCATCATCAGCATCAGTAGCATCGTCATCATCAGCATCAGCATAAGCATTATTACCATCATCATCAGCATCATCATGTTCTGCTGCATCATCACAAACCATCAATCAGCAACAACATCATCATCGTCATCAGCATCACCAACCATCATCATCGTCATCATCCTCACCTCATCCTCATCATCAATCTCATCATCAGCAGCAGCAGCATCATCGTCCTCATCATCGCCATCAACATCATCATCATCATCAGCATCAGCGTCATCATCATCATCAGCATCATCATCATCGTCGTCCTCATCATCATCAGCATCAGCAGCAGCAGCATCAGCATCATCATCAGCATCATCATCATCATCACATCATCAGCATCGGCCCTCGTCTGTAACCTCATCTCTTTATCTCGATGATCTTCCCTCACTCCCCGTACGCATTATGCATTGGACGTCCGCTGTGGGGCGGACGCGCGGTGCATTCTCGACGCGTCTCGCCCCGTGATCGGCGGGACCCGATCGTGGGACCCCATCGCTGGGGTCCCCCACGAATGCCGCAAACGGTAGGGTGCCACGCGGCAAATGCACGCAGGCTCTACCTTCAAAAAAAAATAGATTCCACCACCGTCCCCCCTGTGGGGTTATCGGCCCCCCAAGGATAATCCAAGTTATACGCTATCCTGACCCAGGTTTCGCTGTCCATGAGAGTTCATACCATCCCAACCAGGCGGGCATCGAGCCCCCGTTCATCCCTGTAAAATATTACTGTGCACGGAAAGCCCGTTTATCTCAAAAAATGTTCGAAACGTCATTTGCAAGGAATGGCAGGAGATCAGCGCGCGTACATGTCGAAATCGCATCAAACACACAAGAGCTGCAAACACTCCAACACAAACTATCTGGGCGAAAGGCCCAACCATTAGCAATTGTGAATACCGCGTTGTGACACCGCTTTCGGTGGAGCTCCCTATGGGGACACGAAACGTGTGAAAGCTGTGCCGGAGGGCGCGGGACACTGTCTCTTCAAAACGAGGACCCAACGCCACAGGATGGTTGGGAAACAAATCAAAAACCCGTAGGTGCTGCATCACAAGTCGTGCAGATTAGGTGCCCACGAGCAGTTGATGAAACCGTATGGAAAACCAAATGACATGAGCACTCGTACAGAATCCGCATTGCCATCTCAACACACGGTGCGCCCGCATTGATCCAGCATGCGCCCAGCGCACGAAGCCGAAAAGTGAGTCTCAAGACCATGAGTGTTCGAAGCAAGTCAAGATAGAGCTCTTGAAAAGCAAATGAGAACATGAGCAACGAACCAAAACGGGTCTTACGCGAGATGGCACAGCGACCTTACGCGGTGGCTTACGCGGACCGCCAGCGCGGCACGCCACATTGAAGTCGAGGGCGCTTACGCGCGAACTTACGCGGGCAGCTTATGCGCCAACGTCGGCGCCGACGACACCGTTTTTATGCGTCGCTCATATAGAAACAAACTGCTGTTCGACAAAGAGCCTGCCAGGTTGCTTGGACCTCTGTTGTGCCCACGCGCACGCGCGGCCTGTGGGATGTGCAGAGAAGTTCCCATCCGTAAGCGCTATCGCGGCCGCGTCGGCTGTGCCAAACCAGGTGGCCGCTCTGCGCGCCAGCCGTGGAGATGCGCCAGCCAGTGTCGTAGTCACCGCTATCGCGGCCACATGGGAGGGTGGGAGGGTGGGAGGGTGGAATGATTGCGAGAGCAGTGGAGAGGATGCCTTCCAGTTCTGCGAGGCGGATCAAAACCCATAGATTGCACCACACGTATTTCACCTAAAAGACTGCAAGGTGTCACTATATGGGGGCCAACGCAGAATACCATGTTCCCCATCCTCCTCATCTTCATGATCAGCATGATCACCACTATCATCATCATCATCATCATCATCATCATCATCATCATCATCATCATCATCATCAGCATCAGCATCAGCATCAGCATCATCATCATCATCATCATCATCATCACCATCACCATCAGCATCAGCATCAGCATCATCATCATCAGCATCATCATCCTCGTCGTCGTCATCATCATCAGCAGCCTCATCATCATCAGCAGCAGCATCATCGTCATCATCAGCAGCATCATCAACATCATCATCAGTATCAGCATCAGCATCATCATCAGCAGCAACATCATGGTCCCCCTCCTCCTGCTCCTCTTATTGCTCCTCTTCCTCCTCCTTACCATCAGCAGCAGCAGCACCGCCACCATTAGCAGCAATCACGATAAACCAATAAGACGCATAGACCTCGTCATCATCGTCAGCAGCAGCATCAGCATCATCATCACAATCAGCATCAGCATCATTACCATCGTCATCATCATCATCGTCAGCATCATCATCAGCAGCATCATCATCAACATCATCTTCATCATCATCGTCGTTATCGTCGTCATCGTCGTCATTTTCATCGTCATCACCATCATCATCATCATCATCATCATCATCATCATCATCATCATCATCATCATCATCATCATCATCATCATCACGACGATCATCCTCAACCCCGCCACCACCATCGTCATGATCGTCAGCATCGCTATAAACAACAACAGCCAGCAACATTACAATGGCCATCATCGATATACCATACATCATCACAGGCATCGTTGTCGATCTCGTCAACTCCACGTTCGTCATGGCAATCGTCATCAGCATCGGCTTTATCATTACCACCATCGTGCTAGGGTTGCGGATGCCATGACAAAACGTGTTCTAGAAATGTTTAAAATGTGTAAAAACATGTTCTAGAAATGTTTCAGGCATGTTTTTACATAGTTAAAACATGTTTGAAACATCTTTTAGACATCTGGAACTCGTTTGGCAGCATGCTGCCTCTCCATTTAACCCACTTCCACAATGCTTAGGGGACACCGTCATTTCCGTCATCGTCATGGCCGCCACCGTGACGGGTGACCACCGTCGGGGCTCCTCCGCTCCGCGTGGAGCACCTCCAGGGCGTCGGCGACCACCACCTCCAGCCCCAGGCTGTCCAGCCCGAACCCTGCGCTGGCCACCTCGACGACCTGAGAAGAAGAAAGAGAAAACAACTAGTCGGACTTGATTGGAGAGGACACGCGAGAGGACACAAGACCCTCTCCGAAGGCCACACATCGCCATTGGAGTGTAAGAAGGCACAGGTCGCGAGGCAGGACACAAGGGTACCCTTGAGCTGGCAGGGTCGACCTACTAATCTGGGCCGACTGTACATAAACATCAACTTTTCGCGCTCCGTACGGATTCCTTGGATCCGCGCTGGACCCCCTCCCGGGCGCGCGGAGCGCGCCAGGGGGGGCCCAGCGCGGATCCAAGAAACCCGCGCGGAGCGCCAAAAGTTTATGTTTATGCCGTCTGTTCTTCTCCGAGACCTGCGTGTCCAGCTCCACCCCGACGATGAGGGCGTCTGGCGCCACTTCGCGGAGGATGCGCGCTGCACTCCCGCCACCGAGCCCTAGCAGCAGCACGCTGCGGCGCCGCTCGGGGGGCAGGGCCAGGAGGGGCCAGGGCTCGAGCTATAAACAGTGCTTCTCGTTCTCGCCCTGTCTTCGATGTCCCTCGTTTTGCCTCCACTCGGCCTTTGCTGCGAAACGAGACCCAGACGAAAACGGCCTGCGAGACCGCCAGAGCATCGGGGATCTTCTGGCCCGGTCGATCCAGACCCGGGTCAGCCAGGCCTTGCAAAATCCTGCAAGATCCTGCACCCAAACCCGGGTCCATGCGAAGGATCCTACAAGATCCTGCGGGATCCTGCACCCAAGCGCGGGTCGATGCGACCCTGGCCCTGCAGGATCCTGCAAGATCGGGCGCTACGGCTGACCCCCGTCTGCACTGAGCCCCGTCTCAAGGCTCCCGAGAGCACCGCTCCGCTCGAGCCCCGGGGTGGGCGCGGCCAGCGCGTCCCAGACGCAGAGCGTGATCACCCGGTCGGGGTGCCACGCCGACGCGAAGGTCTCGTCCTAGGCGACCGCCGCGCCGCGGGCCGCCCGCCGGGCACGCCGCCAGTCCCACCAGTCCCCGCGGCGTGGGTGGCCTGACGAGTTCTCCCTTTCCTCCTCCAAAACCCCTTCCCTCTAGGGGCCCCAAAAATATACACCACCACCACCTCCCTTCCCCCCTCCCTCTCGCTGGAAAGAGGAGAGAGGAGGAATCGACGTGGTGGTGGTGGTGTATATTCTTTGGGCCCCCATCCCTCACTTCGGGGAGAGGTTACCCTCCCCCTCCCCTCCCTCGGGTTTTTGCGGGGGGGGGGGTCGCGAGACGGCAGACGGTCGCGTGCAGCCCAACCTGGCGCCAGAAGGGCCCCCGATGTTCTCAGATGGCCTCCAAGGCGGCTCAAGATAGCCGAAGATGGTTCAAGATAGTTTCCGGCATATCTCAAAGAGGTCCCACGAGGGCCAAAAGACGGTTGCAAGTGCTCTCGAGGCCCCCATCACGACCCCCCAAGGAGACCAAATGAGTTGTACCGCTTCGCCTGTTCGCTTCCGATGCGCTCTGGAAGCCTTAAGATGGGCCCAGGATGGCCCAAGAACACACACACACACACACATACACACACACACACTCACACCCCTTCTGATCGATAGCCGCTATAATGCCTCAGGAGGTTCTCCAGGGCTCCAATCAGGCCCCCAAGAGTGCTCCAAGAAGGCTCTAAGAGGCCCCCGAGACACCCAAAAGAGCCCGAAGGGAAATCCAAGAGGGTTCCAAGAGGGCCCCGAAAGAGCCCCAAGAGGACCCCAAGAGGGCCCCAACAAGACCCCAGATGGCTGCCAGAGACATCGTCCTCATCGTCTTCGTCCTCATCCTCCTCCTCCTCCTCCGCCTCCTCCTCCTCCTCCTTCTCCTCCCTATCCCTCCTCCCCCTCCCCCTCCTCCTCCTCCTACTCCTACTCCTCCTCCTCCTCCTCCTCGTTCTCCTCCTCCTGGTCCTCCTCCTCCTCCTCCTCGTCCTCCTCCTCCTCATCATCATCCTCCTCTTCTCGATCTTTACACACTCGCACCTCTACGCTGCTCCCCCCACAAGTCCAGCACGATTGTCCGCTTTGATTCACTACATTCGTCTCTTCCTCCCATTTCCCGTCAGCTCTGTTGGGCAGCATTTCTGAATGGGGTGGTGGGGATACTTTTTTGATCGCGAGCACACCGGGAACGCCAGACGCCGTCTGAGAGTCGTAGCTGGTGGGGATGTTTCGTTCACGAGCGCGCAGGAATGCCAGGCGCCGTCAAGAAACGCGGCTAACGAGCAGCGGACTAAATTCCGCAAAAGAGCGCACAGGAGCGAGCTACGCTGCGGCTCAAGCTGTGGACCTAGCGGAGTCAAACTGGTGGGGATACTTTTTTGTCGCAACCGCAAGCGAAAGCGCAGGCGGCGAGTAACGGAACGGGCGGGCCGCGCGCGAACCTAATTGCCTAACGCGCCAGCAAACAGAGGCCTAGGCGGCACCTCAGGTCACCGGAAGCGGGAGGGGGTGCGGGCTGCAGCTGCCAGGAACCAGGTCCAGGAGCCAGCACATGCAATTAGCCAACCGAAGTTGGGGCGCAGCCAAAATGGCGCAGGAGCGAAACCAGGATGAAGCCAGGAGCGCTACCACGAAGGATCGCAGATACCGGCAAGGCCAGGAGACCTCACTGACCAGGAACCTGGTGACTGGTGGGGATAAATTTTTTGGTCGCGGCCGCAAGCGAAGGCGCAGGCGGCGGGCCGGACTGGTGGGGATACTTTTTTGGTCGGCGGCTCCGAGGCGGCGGACAGGGAGCGGAAGGCGTCGTAACTGGTGGGGGATACGCGGAGCGTGAAGAGTTTCAGAAATTCGAAGCCGTGATTTTTGTTCACAACATGGACACCCAGGGGTCTGGACCCCTTCCCTGGAGCTGCTTTTTGACAGGGCCTGGTGAGGGCCCCGAGGCCAGAAAAGTGCCCGGGACCTTCTGTCGTGATTTTTGCTACAACGCGAGGGGCTCGGGCCTTCAGGCCATGACCCGGGCCTCTGGCAGACGATCGGGACGATCCGAGAAACCCCAGAACGCTGTCGACGAGGCGCAGCTGCTAGAACGCAACGCATCCCGTGGCGAGAAAGGGCCTTCAAATCCTCGCCTCGATCCTCGCCTCTACCCTCCAGAATCGCGTGGTGACGGACCGCATGGTGACTTCGGAATCCGCAACGACCTCACCGCGCGGTCCGTCACCACGCGGTCCTGGGACCTCTGGCCGCGGTCGCCCGAGACGTCTTCGGAGAACGACCCGAGTCCCGAAACCGCGTGGCGACCCCGAATCCCCACTGGCTCACCTCGCGGTGTGTGTGTGTGGTCACCGCACCATTGGCGTGCCCCCGAGGTTTCTCCACGGCGCCAGGAGGTCCGGGGACCGACCGCCAGGCTTTCAGCAGGGACCGACCGTCCCGGCATTCCTGTAGTCCTACCACGAAATGTTCTTAGAACCCAAAACTGCCCCCCGAACAAAAACAATGCTCTCAGAACATGAGCCCGATGTGTTAAAACGAGACAGCCTCAGCCAGGAATGTCCTAAGAACACTTCGTGCAAACCACGAAAGGCCCTCAGAACATCTGTCGGTGGGCCCATATAGAGGGAAAAGAACTATGCACATGCACCGATTCTGGCCAGGCCCATCCTGAGCCCAGGATCGGTGCATACGCCCTCCTACCTTGGCCAGGAAGGCATATGCACCGATCCTGGGTCAAAAATGGGCCTTGCCAGGATCGGTGCATGTGCGTAGTTCTCTTCGCCCGACCATAGGCGAGCCAGAACGCCTCGCCGCTGCACGAAGGCTGGCCGCAAACCGAGACCGGCCGCTGCCCGGCCTGCCCGCCGGCCGGCCGGGGCGGCCCGCGAGCGCCCCCAGGGCGCCAGTGCGTCCGCCGGCCGAGGGCCACGAAGGGGCCCTGGAATACACAAACAAATGCACAAATAAAAAGATTCCCCATACTTTCCCCTATTTTCTGGGTTCTTGTCTTCCCCCCCACTTCCCATATTTTCCCATATTTTCTGGGGAATCGAGGATTAATTATGTCTGTGTGTTTTTTCCTCTCCTGAAGCCACGCCAGCAGGGCGTCCGCCGGCGCGGAGGTCGAGGGGTGGGCCACGGGAGGGCAGAGCGGCAGGCGCTGGGAGGCAACTGCTGGGAGGTGTTCGTCGGCAAGAGGCGAGCGACCTTTCATCCCGATGCTTCTGTGCGGTGCCATTTCGGCTGAAGAGCCCCTGGAGGGCGAAAGCTACCTGCACTTGGCACACAAAGCACATCAGCATCCGAGCGGGCTTGATAGTCCTTTCGATCGTGGTCCTCAGATTGAGCGGGATTCAGCCAGATTATTACACGGGTTTAAGCAGGATTGAGCAGGATTGAGCGGGATCAAGTGGGATGAAGCTGGATTTCGGACCAGGGCAAAATCAGAATTTGGCCTCCCAGGAGTTGCATCCGAACAGGCGGGTTGGGGGGTTCGGAGGGGGGGGGAAGAAAGGCGGACAGGGGGAGCGGAAAGGGCGGAGGGGGGAGGCGGAATGAGGAGGAAGGAGGAGGACGAAGGGAGGGCAAGAAGAGGAGTGGAGGACCGAGGAGGGAGGATAGGAGGAAGAAGAGAAGGAAGGGTACTTAGGTCCCCCTCACTTCGGCCCTTCGCGGCCCCAGGTTCGGATTCCAGGCAAGCTCTGGGCAGAGTGCGGGCAGAAATACCCTGGTCAAGTGAGTCTCATCCTCCTGCGACTGCTCCTCCATCCCCTCCTCCTCACCCATTCCCCTCCTCCTCCTCCTCCTCCTCCTCCTCCTCAACTCCTCATCGGCATCATCACAATCGCCCATCACCATCACCATCACCATCACCATCACCATCACCATCACCATCACCATCACCATCATCATCATCATCATCATCATCATCATCATCATCATCATCATCATCATCATCAGCATCATCATCATCATCATCATCATCATCATCATCATCATCATCATCATCATCATCATCATCATCATCCTCATCATCATCATCATCATCATCATCATCATCATCATTATCATCATCATCGTCATCATCGTCATCATCATCGTCATCGTCATCGTCATCATCATCATCACCACCACCATCATCATCAGCAGTATGAGAATCACCATCATCATCAGCATCGTCATCATCATCATCGTCACCGTCATCGTCACCGTATCATGAACATGGTCATTGTTATCATCATTATCATTAACACCATCATCATCAGCAGCATCGTGTTCGTCATCATCATGAGCCTCATCATCGTGGTCATCAGCATCATCAGCATCATCATCATCATAATCATGATCAGCATCGCCATCATCAGCAGAATCATCATCACCACCACCATCATCACCACCACCACCACAACCATCATCATCATCAGCAGCAGCATCAGCATTATCATCATCAGCATGAGCATTACCATCTTGATCAGCATCATCATCAGCAGCATCATCATCGTCATCATCATCATGGTCATCATCATCATCGTCGTCGTCATCGCGGCCGCCACCGGCAATCATCATTGCCATCATCGCCATCATCGTCATCATCGTCATCATCATGAGCATAATCATCATCACCGTCATCACCATAAGCAGCAGCATCATCATCATGATTATCATCATCAGCATCATCGTCATCAGCATCGGTAGCATCATCACCAGCATCATCATGAAGATGATAGCACACGTGCAATGAGCATCCTACTTACAATCGTCGTAGTCACCATCGTCATCAGCATCATCATCAGCTGCATCATCAGCGTACCAGTCATCATCATTATCATCGTCATCATCATCATCAGCATTATCATTAGCATCATCAGCACAATCAGCATCATAATCATCATCAGCAGAATCAGCATCATCAGCATCATCATCATCGTCATCAGCATCATCGTCATGATCGTCACCACGAACACCATCACCAGCACCAACACCATCATCATTTACAAACAACAATAAACATTATCACCACCACCATTATCATCGTCGTCATCGGAATCGTCATCGTTATCGGCATCGGCAGCATCAATTGCCATCATCGTCATCATCATCAGCATCATCATCAGCATCGATATCACACCATCATCACCGTCATCATCATCAACATCGTGATCATCATCATCATCATCATCATCATCATCATCATCAGCATCATCATCATCATCATCATCATCGTCATCATCATCATCAGCATCGTCATCATCATCAGCATCGTTATCATCATCGTCATCATCATCAGCATCATCACCACCATCATCACCGTCATCATCGTCATCATCATCGTCGTCGTCGCCGCCGTCGTCATCGATACGCCTCCCCCTCTTCATGCCATCCCCTCATATTTCCCCTCCTCCACCATGCTCGAACGCCACGGGCGAATCGCTCCGACGACGACGCCCGCGAGGCCGGCTGACCGAGGCCGCGGCCACCACCAGCCTGCGGCCGTACTCTGCGTCGTCCTCCACCCGCACCCTCGCGGGAGCCGCGGTGCAGAGGAAGAGGAAGACGACGAGAATGACGAGGACAGGGGAGAGGATAGGGACCATGACGACGACGAGAACGAGGACGACGAGGAGGGCGACGACGAGAACGCCGACGAGGAAAGCGCGGAGGGGGTCGGAGTGAACGGGGAGAAGGCGCAGGAGGAGCAGCAGGAGGAGCAAGAGGAGTACGAGGGCGGGACGAGGGGGGAGCTGGGGGGCCTGCCTGGGCAGGGCCGCGGCGGGAGTCGGTGACGGCGCCTCCCTGCCCCTGGCCGCCGCTCTGGCCTGCAAGGGCGGGTTCCGACGTCCGCTTCCTGCTCCTACCCCTCCGCGTCTTCCTCCTCCTCCTCCTCCTCCTCCTCCTCCTCCTCCGCCTCCTCCTCCTCCTCCTGCTCCTCCTCCTCCTCCTCGTCCTCCTCCTCCCTTCTCTTCATCGTCCTCCTTCTTCCTCCTCTTCCTCCTCCTTTTCCGCCTCCTCCTCTTCTTCCTCCTCATCCTTCTCCTCCGCCTCCGCCTCCTCCTCCTCATCTTCCTCCTGCTCCTCCTCCTCCTCTTCCTCCTCCTCCTCCCCTCCCTTCATCGTAAATCTTGTTATCATGATTAGAGTTACATTATGGGTAGTCCTATTATTCATGTTGTCATTGTTGTCAGGACTATTAGTTGTAGTATTACTAGTGTCATCACTACTGGTAGTATATTTAGAATGCTACTACTACGATGTTCCCCTTGTTATTATGATTACTAATGCTACGATACTAAGGATTAGTAGTGATTAGTATTATGCGTATGCTGCTTCTTCTTCGTCCTCCTCCTCCTCCTCTTCCTCTTCCTCCTCCTCTTCGTCATGCTGCACTCCCTCTCTTCCCCCCTGACGCCTGACGCTGGCGGCCACTTCCAACTCCTCCTCCTCCTCCTCATCTTCCTCCTCCTCTGTTTCCTCCTGCTCCTCCTCCTCCTCATCCTCCTCCACCTCCTCCTCCTCCTCCTCCTCCTACCCCGCATCATCACCATCATCATCATCGTCATCATCATCATCATCATCATCATCATCATCATCATCATCATCATCATCATCATCATCATCATCATCCTCATCCTCATCATCATCATCATCATCATCATCATCATCATCATCAGCATCATCATACTCAGCAGCAGCATCAGCATCAGCATCAGCATCATCATCATCATCATCCTCATTCTCAGCCGCATCATCATCATCAGCATCATCATCATCATCAGCAGCATCATCATCAACAGCATCACCACCATCATCATCAGCATCATCATCATCATCGTCATCACAACCAGCATCAGCATCAGCAGCAGCCGCATCAGCATCCGTATCATCAACATCATCATAATCACATTCATCATCATCATCATCATCATCATCATCATCATCAGCATCAGCATCGTCGTCGTCGTGAGTAGCAGCATGAGCATCATCATCATCATCATCATCATCATCATCATCATCATCATCATCGTCGTCATCATCATCAACATCAGCACCAGCATCATCATCATCATCATCGTCCTCATACTCGGCCTCATCATCATCACCAGCATCAGCATCAGCAGCAGCATCATCGTCAGCATCATCGATATCAGTATCATGAGCAGCATCATCATAATCATCATACTCGACATCGTCGTCGTTAGTATCATCATCAACATCATCATCATCAGCATCATCATCACCATCAGCATCAGCATCTTCAGCATCGCCAATATGCTGCTCATCATCATCAGCATCATCATCAGCATCATCCTCATCAGCATCAGCATCAGCAGCATCATCAGCATTATCGTCACCAGCACCATCGTCCTCATCATCATCACAATTGTCGTCATCAGCATCAGCATCATCATCTTCGCCGTCATCATCATAATCAGCATCAGCATCATCACCACCATTATCATCAATATCGTCAGCATCGTCACCATCATCAATCATCAATTGTCATCATGATCAGCAGCATCATTTGCATCAGCATCATCATCATCATCATCAGCATCAGCATCAGCATCATCATCAGCAGCACTGTCATCACCAGCAGCATCAGTATCATAATCTCCATCCGCATCAGCATCAGCATCATCAGCATCATCATCATCATCGCCATCGGCATCATCATCATCGTCATCATGATGATCTCCATCATCATAAACATCATCAGCATCGCCGTCTTGGTCTTCATCAGCATCATCAACAGCAGCATCATCATCATCCTCATCTTCGGCATCATCATCAACATCATCATCACCACTATTATCATAATCATTGTCATCAGAAGAATCGCCATCATCATCATCAGCAGCATCATCCTTACTATCAGCATCAGCATCATCAGCATCATCATAACAGTCTGAATCAGCATCTCATCGTCGTCATCATCATCAGCACAGGCATCATCATCATAGAATCATCATCATCAGTATCATGACCATCGTCATTATCATCGTCAGCATCGTCATCGTCATCGGCATCATCATCAGCATCAGCATCATCATCATCGTCCTCAGCATCGTCACCACATTATCACCAATCATCATCATCATCAGCATCATCATCATCATCATCATCATCATCATCATCATCATCATCATCATTATCATTATCATTACAACCATCATCACCGTCGTCGTTCTCATTCTCATCCTCATCCTCATTATCCTTCTCCTCCGCGTCCTCCTCCGACTCCTTCTCCTCCTCCTGCTCCTCCTGCTCCTCCCTTCTCTTCATCGTCCTGCTCCCTCCTCCTCCCTCCTCCTCCTCCTCCTCCTCCTCCTCCTCCTCCTCCTCCTCCTCCTGCACTCCCTCCTGACGCCTGACGCTGGTGGCCAGCTCCTCCTCCTCCTCCTTCTCCTCCTCCTCCGCCTCCTCACAGCCAGTTTGGCTCCAGCCATGTTGGCTCAAGGCGAAAGGCTTTGATCAAGTGCCCTGCGGCGTTGCAGGCCTGCCCGCACACCTGAGCCCCCAGGCCTGTGGGACCGCTTACCATGGTCTTGCCGTTCGGCGTATGGTCTCTCATCCCGGTGCACGATCTACTGATCTACTGCCTTTCATCGGGGCTGCAGGCTGTGTATTCTGGCGTTTCTGCACTGTTCATTGGGAGTGTCTTTCTTCGGTACGTTACTGAGCGTTGGGCGTCTGCAGACATGTTCGAGGGTGTCGTTTCAGCGCTCGGCACTGTCGTGGCTTCATTGGGGATCGTCTTAGCATACGCAGGTTTGTTGGTGGGTAGTGTGCCCTCCCTGGCGGTCGGCGAGCTAGGGGTTCGCCCTTGTGGCTCACCGCCAGGAGTTGATCGGCTGGTGCTTCAATACATTTCTGTGTTGTGTTTCCATGTGTAGTTTCTGGCGCTTTTGGTCCACTCACTTGTGCTGGTATTCATTGCTACTCATGGGATTGGCAGATTTCCCCGTGCGCTCTACATTTGTTGGGGTACCTGAGCATGGCTCGTTCCACGTATCGTGCATAGTGTCACGGTTGTGCGTATAGTTTGTTGTGCAATGTTTGTCACACCTGCACTGGCGCTTGGTCAAGGCAAGAGGGACCTGAGTTTCATATGACTTCTGTGGTGGTGGGGCGGTTGTCATCTCATGTCATCTTTGTGTTCTGCTTGTCACGGTCGCGGTTTGGGGCAATAGGGTGAATTGGTTGCTGAGGTCATGCTGGTATCGGCGTTATGTATGCTTCTTGGTCGCGCTGTTCGTGGCGTTCGAGTCAAGGCGAGAGATACATGAGTGTCATATCACTACTGTGATGGTGGGACGGCTGTCATTGTTCAGCTGCGTTCTCTGCTCGATCACGGTCGTGGTTTGGGACAATATGGTGAATTATGTGCAGAGTTCGTGCTGGTATCGGCGCGATTTCTGTTTCTTGGTCACGATGGCCGTGATGTCCAGGCGAAAGTGTGTGTGTGTGTGTGTCACGTCTATACTGCGCATTGGTCAAGGCAAGAAGTACATGTGTTTCTAGCGCGTATCGGGGTTATGGGACGAGGCTGCCTGTGGGGTAGGCGATCCGCTTCACTGTCGGATTGCACGAGCTGTACACGGCAAATGGCTGTGGGGTGTGCCTAAGAGTCTTTATCACCTCAGCTTAGTATTCATTCACATGCTGTCATTGGTCTGGCGCATGTTCTGGATTGCTTGCAGAGTATTTGCTGGAGTCTGCGGTCTTCTGTTCCCTCGTCATGCTGCTCGTGGTGATCAGAAGGTGGCTTATTTCTCGGATCGCTTCGCGATGGGTCTCACCTCATCATCATGACCGCCTCCTCATCCTCCTCCTCCTCCAGGTCCTCCTCATCATTCGATTCGTTCTTATTCCTCCTCCTCCTCCTCCTCCTCCTTCTCCCCCTCCTATTCCTCCTCATCCTCCGCCTCCTCCGCCTCCTCCTCCTCCGCCTCCTCCTCCTCCTCCTCCTGCTCCTTGTCCTCATCTTCCTCCTCCTCCTCCTCCTCTTCCTCCTCCCCCGTCCTCCTCCTCCTCCTCCTCCAGCTCCTCCTCCTCCTCCTCTCCTCCTCTTCCTCCTCGTCCTCGTCCTCCTCCTCCTCCTCCTCCTCCTCCTCCTCCTCCTCCTCCACCTCCTCCTCCTCCTCCCCCTCCCCCTCCTCCTCTCCTCCTCCTCCTCCTCCTCCTCCTCCTCCTCCTCCTCTTCCTCCTCCTCCTCCTCCTGTTCCTCCTCCTCCTTCTCCTCCTCCTCATCCTCCTCTACTCATCCTCCTCCCCTCCCCCTCCCCCGTCCTCATCCCCTCCTCCTCCTCCTCCTCCTCCAGCTCCTTCTCCTCCTCCTCCTGATCCTCCTCCTCCTCCTCCACCTCCTCCTCCTCTTCCTCTTCCTCCTCCGCCTCCCCTCCGCCTCCGCCTCCACCTCTGCCTCCTCCTCTTCCTCCTCCTCCTCCTCCTCCTCCTCCGCCTCCGCCTCCTCCTCCTCCTGCGCCTCCTCCTCCTCCTGCTCCTCCTCCTCATCCTCCTCCTCGTCCCCCTCCCCTCCCCCGTCCTCCTCTTCCTCCAGCTCCTCCTCCTCCTCCTCCTCCTCCTCCTCCTCCTCCTCCTCCTCCCCTCCTCCTCCTCCTTCTCCTCCTCTCCTCCTCCTCCTCCTCCTCGTCCCCTCCCCTCCCCCGTCCTCCTCCTCCTCCAGCTCCTCCTCCTCCTCCTCCTCCTCCTCCTCCTCCTCCTCCTCCTCCTCCTCCTCTCCTCCTCCTCCTCCTCCTCCTCCTCCTCCTTCGCCGCCGCCGCCGCCGCCGCCTCCGCCTCCTCCTCCTCCTCCTCC